TGTAACTTTAGCTGCTATAACTGTAGCTGATATATGACAAATGATTTCAGCTGATGTAACTTTAGCTGCTTTAACTGTAGCTGATATATGATAAATGAATTCAGCTGATGTAACTTTAGCTGCTATAACTTTAACTGATAAATATGTTTTCAACTGATCCACAGAGGTCCTGCTGAAGAGGCCTCAGAGACAATCAAACACAAAACTGGACTCTTTTCTGAAACTGAAGACTTTAGTTTCACATCTGGAGCAATTTCCATGTTTTTACTGTACAAAATTAAAGGACAACTTTATTTTGAAACATTTGAAACATTTTAATGATGAGATTAGGAAAACAAAATGACTCCATATTTATTCATTAAACTTAACATTAAACAGCAGGAAATTTAAAAAGCAGCAAATAGAAAACACACACCAGACTTTTTTATAATCCCATGTGTGTTTAAATGATTATCAGTGACTAGTTATATCCTATGAGAGACAAGTTTTTATTTGAATATTTAACCTTCAAACAAACAATGTGCTGTTACAGCACAAGGACAATAAAGATTAAACTAAACTTTATCATCATTGGACATGTCAAAGGTCCAAGACAACAAAACACAGATAACATCTGAAAAAAGCTCATAAGAAGCAGTAAAATATGAAACTTAAACCTTCAGCTAGGAAATATGCCTTGTTCAAAATGTCCGAATAAACAGGAATCAGATGGATTTCTTCTTAAAAACTTTATTCTCAATCTTCTGACTCCCATCAGGTTCACAGTACAACACTCAGCAGGCCTCAGCGTAAGACCTTGGGCTGAACCAAAACAAAACACAGGAGCCCTGCTCTAAACAGAGACTCTGACAAACACTGACAACTTCTTTTGCTATAATAATGAATTGACCTTATAATGTACATCTCTTCCTGGTTACACCTCTGCAGGTATTACCTTTTATCTCATTCATCAGAATGTCACTCATTTTTGTTTAGGCTACACAACAGAACACATAAGACACACAACTCTTTGTCTGTTTTAACCTTAAAGGCTGAAATGATCAGAAAGTATAAAATACAAGACTGCATCTAACATTCAGTTAATCAGTTACAAAATTTCCTTCGTTCAGATATGAAAATATACAAAAATCTGTTTCTATGAATCAATAAAACTGCAGCTTTGAACTGTTCTGATCATGTCACCTGAATAAAGCCAGGATGAAGAAAGATGGGACACACCTCCCTGTGGCAGAGCTTTAACATCACCAGTGATTACAAGCATCATCCTCACAGATGTGCTTCATAAACCCTTCATGGAGAACTCTCACAGTGAGCAGAGGCAGCCCACAGGGCTGTGTTTTCAGCCCCCTACTGTTCTTTATGCTCACACATGACTGAACTGACAAATCTGATAGTAACCATACTGCCAAGTCTGCTGATGGCACAACAGTGCTGGACTGGTCAGTAAAAATGATGAGTAAGCATACAGAATGGAGGTGGATCAGTTCACAGCTTGGTGCAGATCCCATAATCTCTATCTCATGTTGAAAGAACAAAGAGCTGGTGATGGTTTTAGGAGGAACAAACAGCATTTACCTACATATTGATATTTCTGCTGTGGAGAGGGTTAGCAGTAAGAAGTTCCTGCTTCATCTGACTGACAACCTCACCTCTAGTACCAACACCACAGCAGTCACTAGGAAAACACGATGACGTCTTTAACCCCTCTGGAAACTGAAGAAAGCGGGTCATTATCAGATGGTTTCTGTGAAAAAAATGTGTGATTGATGTTTTCCAATAAAGTGATCAGCTGTAGCTCAGACTCTGCAGCCTGCAGAAGCTCCTGTGTGCAGCACTTTAAAATGCTTCATTACATCAAGTTTTATAGGACATTTAAAGAACATCGACTCTGCAGTGTGGTGAGTTTTASAGGCTGACTGCAGAGAATGTAAAGACGTGTGGAGCAGCAACAGTTAACACTCACCTGTATGAGCCTGACAGTAGCCAGAAGCACTCATAACTAAATTAGAGCATAAACCTGATTCTATAAAGTTCTATAAAGTCTTGTGAAATATTTTAAGTTTTATTCAAACTGTACTTCTTTCATAAATGTTTTAATGTTTTTTTTCTTTAGTCTGATTGATTTGTCCCTCCTCCCAACATGGCAGACCTGTTGCTCTCCTGTGATGAGTCAAAGCAGAGTCGATGTAGACCAGTTCTTCCTGGGATCACACCAGGAGTCTGGAACAACTGGACACACAAAAAACTTTTAACTAAATATGGATTCCAGTTTCTAAAGCCTCTGTTTTCCTGTGAGCAGCAGGTGTTAAAGTTTGAACAGTGAGGTTTTCTTCTTGTGGACAGAGAGGAAATGTAAAGAGTGAGGCAGAAGCTGCAGCTTGTCCTGAAGCTGAATCTTCTTCCCTCCACAGAGAGAAAAGCCTCTCAGAGACTCTGATAGCAGAATAAGAAGAATGTGGAGTTAACACTCACCCTAATTAAACTTTCAGTCCTCCTTCTTCTTCTATGTTCACTCAGAATGGACTCTGACCTCCAGCTGAACATTTCCTGTTCTACACGAAGAGGCAGGAAATCAGCTGAGTTGATCTGTGGCTGACTGTTTCTGCCGCTCAAAGTTCACTTTTTATTACCTCGAAAAGAACAATCTGTCATTCTGACCAAATCAGCTTTGTGTTCAAATGTCCTGATGCATCTCAGTAATCCAGGTAGAAAAATCAAAAAGAAAAATAAGTCTGACCTCTGGATGGTTCTTCTTTAAATGAAACTTTTCGTCTCTCCTCCAAGACACTTCTTCAGTCTGAGGAGTTTCAGGTGAACCCAGCCTTATAAGCTCCGCCTCCACATGATAACAAACAAGTTGGTCACATGCAAAAGAGGACCATCAGTCTATCGATAGGTTGTTAGTGCCTTGATTGGCTCTATTGTTCAAAGAGGGTCATGAACCCTATCACCTGACTATCACTGGGCTCTGAGTCACACCTTTTCCTAATAGGGTGCTGAATCATACTTGCAATAACAGCATTGTAGGAGGGGGACAACAGGACTTGAAGGCCTCCACCTCTGTTTAAAGTGCTGATGACACAATATTGACATTTTCTGACATTTTTCATAAACCAAAAGGTCCCTCCCGACGATCTGGTTAATAATTACAAGCGTGTCTGTATAGCATCCTTTTTTTTTTTTCAAAAAACAAGGCAAATTTAGGAGAACTGTAGCGCCCCTTAGTGTCTGAGGAAGAAAGCGGAAGTGACGTCGCCGGGGGACGAGTCTCCCAGCTTTGTCATTGAAAGTAAGCCATTTTGTAACAAACATTTCTTGGATTCTTCAGATTTTTGACGGTTGTAGATAGCGAAAATACCTGCTTGTTGTATCGCAGGGTTTTGTTCAAACACCCATAAAGATGGTGTTAGTTTATTTAAGTTTCCCAAGGATCCAGAGCTTCATTCAAAGTGGGTGAAGCAGGTTAGCTGTCCTCGTGAGAAATGGGAGCCTACAACCTCCTCTGTTCTGTGTTCTGACCATTTTGTGTTCTGTTTTGAGTCGGACTGTTTTGATTTTGTCCCCACTTTAAAAGAGTCGTTAGGTTCTTCAGTATTACACAAACATGTTCTGCTGCCTAAGGCAGTACCGACAGTGTTCCCCAGGAGGCGCAGACGTGCACTAGTGGTGGTGTCACAATCGGACAGAGCAGTAATCTGTTGGGCTATGGAGCGGGAGCGGCTGGTCCTTCGGGAACCATTTCCATCGGCACATCTCAAACCAAACCGAGAGCTTGTGTTGTCCAGCGAAACAAAATCAGGGTAAGATCCTAGTTAATATGTCCTGATGCATCTCAGTAATCCAGGTAGAAAAAAAAGTTAAGCAGGTCTTCTGGACAGTTTTTGTTAAAATGCTCAATCTCTGAGACAAAGCATTTCCAGCAAGGAAGAGAGAGACGAAGCGTTTAATAAAAAAAAACCCGTCCAGAAGACCTGCTTAACTTTT